GCAGACAAATTGGTTGGATTAAACCCAGTTATACTATGTCGTTTCTAAGAATCAGACATAAACTAACAATCTATAAGGTAAAGGGTATTTAGAGTCACAAAAGGTGAAAACAGCATGAGTTAATTTTAATAACAAGATGGAATTAGGAATTAGAAGTACTAAATAGGAAAGGCACCTGTGTGACTCAATCAGATAAACGTCTGACTCTTGATCTTGGCTCAGGTCATGATCTCACAGTTCGTGAGTTCATTCCCTGTGTCAGGCTCCACACTGACAGTGCAGAGCCTGCTTGGGATTCTCTCTCTCCGTGCCCACCCCCCCAAACTAGATAGATAGCGCGCATGCGCGCGCTCTCTCTCTCTCTCTCTCTCTCTTTCTCTCTCTTTCTCTCTCTTTCTCTCTCTTTCTCTCTCTTTCTCTCTTTCTCTCTCCCTCTCCCTCTCCCTCCCTCTCTCAAAATAAATAAAATAAACTTTTTTTTTTAGAAGAAGTATGAAAAAGGAAAAAGCATGTTTTGTAACAGGCATAGTCTATAAAAGTATAACAACTTAACATATAAAATGTCCCTAAATATTTAAAATGCAGGAAGTTCTTAGTGTATAGCTGTGGGAGATTTTTAGTACATCTCAGAAAATTACACCAGTTTATGAGTTTAACATGAGTTTGGAATAATGAATTTTAACACTTGAATATGAATACATTTATTTCATAGAAATGTAAATCTTATAGATCAGTTAGAGCAATGAAAAGATTAATAAAATGAGCTATAATTAAAACCAAGCAAAAACCAAGACAAAAACTCAGCACCTAGATCCTGGTTTCTAATACCACTCTCTAAGAAAAAGAACATGGAGAAATGGCTGATTTTAGGGATGGGGTAGGGAAAATACAAAGTGAGTGTGGAGTGTCCTGTATTGTTAAAAACCAAGCAAGTACTCAAAAAACAAAAGGGTATTTGCTTCAACAGCACATATACTAAAATTGTAACATTAAAGAGAAGATTTTCAAGGCCCTTTGTAAAAAGATGACCTGTGGATTATGAAGCATTCTATATGTCTGTAAATTTTACATTACATGTATTTTATCAGAATTTAAAAAAAGAACTGACATCACATCAAGCAAGTGGACAAAGGAGCCAACTGAAAGCACTCCCAAAGACCAAAACTAAAACAATTGGATTATAATCTGAAGTATAAAATAAATACCCATATATCTTATTGATAAAAATTGGTTGAATAAATGAATCATTTATTTACTCAAATTATCCTGGGGTTTTACAAGCTATTTAAAATGAATTGAAGGAAATGGACAGTTGTTTACTATAGAATTCCAAATAATTTGCGTAGATATTCCACTCTTCAGGAAGTGGGGTTTATCTACCCTCATCCCTTTTGTGGGCTGGCCTGACTGATTTGTTTATTTCCAAACAGAGTGTTGAAAGGGAAAAATAGTAAAATAGTAACTCTAGAATGGAGAAATCTGGCAACCACTACCTTAGATAAATGATCAAGGTTAACATCACCAGCGATAAATCGTATTGATATTATGTACTTCCTGATGTGATGTGATGAGAGGGGCACTTCAGCTCTGCAGTAACCTTCCCCCTAAATTCATAACGTTGGTCTAATCATTAGAAAAACATCAGAGTGACCAAGGTTGAGGGGCCTTGACAGTTCTAAAGTGCCACGGTCATGAAAGATCATGTAAGACTGAGAAACAGAGGAGCCTAAAAGAGACATGACAATTAAATGAGGTGGATCCGGGAACAAAAAGATATTTGTGGAATAGCTGGTGAAATTCAGGTAAAATTTAGCACTTAGTTATAGTAGTGTACCAGTGTTGATTTCTTTTTTTGATGTATGTATGATGATGCTGAAGGTGTTAACTTTAGGAGAAGCTGGGTGAGGAATATAATTCTGAATTGTCTTTAACTCATGTAAATCTAAAATTATTCCAAAATTAAATTTATTTTAAAAACCTTTCAGAGCTGAGGCCTATCTAACCTCTAATAAAGCAAAGCATTTTGATGTTATTTCAGTATTTCTGTACAGAAGAAAAAAAGCTTTCCAGTTGTTTTTGCAGGTTGTAAAATGTTGAGTTCATGAGGTGGGTTGTTGTTTTTTTTTTTTTAACCATACAAACAGAAACCCTCCCAAGCAAAAAAATCCTCCCACCTTGTAGATATCAGATGACAAAGAAGCTTCTGTGCTTCTGCTTGGTTTGAGGGAAAGAAATATCCACTGGTAAATTAAATCCTAGACTTGAGCTTCATACTGGCTTGGAGTTTGAAATGTTAGTATCTGTAGAGCGATAGCACCCTCAAACCAAGAAATTAGTATAAAATTTGGTTTTTGATCACCTAACAATTTTTTAAAAACTAAAAATTAAAGAACACAAGATAGTTTATGGCTAGAAAGTTTCTAAAAATTTTCTTGTCAAAGTAATGCTACTTTTGTCCTGAAATCCTTGTATTGTTATATTAAACTTTACGGTATGCTTTTATTTCTGAAATTTATTTATACACTATTTAAAAGAAAAATTAGTTTCCCCTGTTTATATAAGGAAACATGGAGCAAATATTCAATACATTATGGCTATTAAGATCTGGGAATTTTGGTAAATACACAGACGAGTTTATTAACATTACAATACATGATAAAGTCATGGATATTATATGATGTATTCTGTGTGGTGTTTGTTCCTCATTAGCAAGGCATAGTTCAGTGCACCGTGTCAGATTGCAAAAAACATGGTGCCTTCAGTGCAGCATTTTCACCAACCCCTGCACATGTATGATTGGTTGTCTCAGATGATTTATGTTAGTTATTACTGAGTAAACCTGTGTTTATAGCATACCCCGGAATAAGTCATCAAACAGGTTCAAAGTAACAAAATCTAAAATATCTATTTTCAGATTTTGTGCCCATTCTCTGTCAAATAATTATTTTCTGTATTGATAATCCTTAGTATTTAAGAATGTATACTATTTGTGTTATTCACTATTTTACCATAATAGTATCATTGTATTTTGCTTTAGATTCATTGCCTCTGTTGCATTTTAAAGTTGATATCTTTATTTTTCCAAGCAAATAATTATAAAAATTAAAGATTAAAAGAATGAATTATCTGCTTTAAAGATAAGACTATATTATATTCCCTTTAGTGTGAAAGTGTATGAACTATAAAACCATGAGTTTTGTTTTAAGTTTAATAAAATTAGCTAAAAACCTATCTTCTTCATAGTGCTAGTACTACTACTATCTCTAAGGCAAATTCTTATCTTCACAACTTACGTCCTCATGAATCTAAAATTTTCTCAGGGTAGACATTGCCCCGTTGTACAAAAATGCAGCTCAAAAATGAAAATTCCATTACTTATCAATATTGATGCAATTTCCAGATTTCAGATTCTGGCATTGCTATTCAATAGTTATGTGAATATAGGCAAGTTAATTAACTTTATTGTGCCTCCATCTCCTCTATAAAGTGCTAATAATAGTATATACTTCGTAAGGTAATTGTGAAGATTCAAGTACTTGATAGATATAAAGCACTTAGAACAGTACCTGGCACATGATGCTCACTATCTGCTAACTCACATTACAAACACACTACTATCCTTACTCTTTACTGTTTTCTTCTTGTGTCATTTTCTTATCTTCTTTTTAATTTAGGTCCTTTGACTTTTATAACATAAGAATATAAAATTCTTTTAGAAAAATTTCTTTAGAATTTTAATTTACTTAATTATATTACTCCGATAGGTATTGATCACCACTGTGAATGAATTTACAAATAATAGAATAGCCTCTTTTATTTTTAATTCCCTGGTTAAGTAAAATGGGAATATGTTAGAAGTTTTTATTTAGGGTGAGTAAGTAGATATTGTAGTTCCCAGGCTTATTGCACTTTTTGTAAATCTTTAATGCTTTTATCCCACAACTACCTTTAGGTTTTTGGCTTTACCCCCAAATTAGTGTGTATTTGGATTTATGTGGTATTTTAGGATCTTTATTTTCTGAGGATTATGTTCAAAATCCTGAAAATTGATTGTATATAAAGTGACAGTGTAATTTGATATATTTTTTCAAGTATAATTATATCTCCATAATATAGTGTAAGAATAAAATACTTGTTTCATATTGCTGGTTTGGGACATAACATTTTTTGTACTGTTTTTCAAATTGTCCTCAAAGCCAATATCCTAATCATCATTTATTCCTCTAGTTGTTGATTTGTTTTTAATTACTTAGAAACATTTACAGCAAAATTGGGCAAATTGGGCATTTTAAAAAAAAATTTTTTTAACGTTTTATTTATTTTTGAGACAGGGAGAGACAGAGCATGAACAGGGGAGGGTCAGAGAGAGGGAGACACAGAATCCGAAACAGGCTCCAGGCTCTGAGCTGTCAGCACAGAGCCCGATGCGGGGCTCGAACTCACGGACCGCGACATCATGACCTGAGCTGAAGTCGGCTGCTTAACCGACTGAGCCACCCAGGCGCCCCAAATTGTACATTATTAAATAGCGGATTTTTTTAATTCAAAAAATGTGTGACAATGAAGTATTACATGCTCTTGTTTTTAATGTGTTTTATAAATTGTGATGGCAGTTTCAAAAGAAAACTAAAGTTTTGTACATTGAGGGAATAAATATATAACTTTGGTGACTACTTTGAAAGAACAATAATAACTTGGATTCATTTATTAAATATTTGTATGAAAGTTTGCAGTGGGGTCTGATGGATTAAGAGTCCATCTAAAATGTAGTCTAAAATGTAGTCACTGTTCTTAAAGATCTTACAATTTAGTAGGGTTTAGCATATTTGTATCATGTAGTTTTATTATTTTATAGTATTTTTTTATACGGCAAGGAAGCTGTGGTTTGCCTTTTTTGGGGGGGGTTACTTTTAATAAACACATTGTAAGTGATTCCTCACCTTTTTGTTCTGAAAATATATTTTTCTGTTAGAATAATCTTTGTAAATTTCCTTTTTTAGGAAAGAATATCCACCTCATGTCCAAAAATTTGAAAATAATTCTGTAAGGTTAAGTCGGCCTCAAGGTGTCGGTAAGTGTACAGTTTTATTTATTAACACCTGTGAAGGGTTTTGAATAGTTGTATGAAAGAAAGGTAGAAATAGAGATATGACACTGGTTTTAGAATATTCCCAAGTATAATAGAAATACATAGAAAAGCATTTTTTGAACTGATTTGAAGTTTTACTTACCTGTGACCTAACATTTTCGGGGAATAGTTACATACTGAAGAGATTACAGTTTGAAATCTTTTTTTTAATTAGGATTTGCACTAAATTCAGGATCCACATATTAACTGTAGATGGATTATAGCTTCAAAATTATGTTTGGGTGAACTATATTATAATCTTGTATAATGTAGTTTTCTTGCTTTAAATGGTTATGGTCCTAAAATTTAGAACATACTAGGCAACCACTGAATTTTAAAGAGACCATACCTGATACAATTATGTTAATAATAGATGTGGAGAAAAAAAGTTGTGGGTAGAAATTTTTGTTTTTATTGACATAATCTATTAATATACAAATATTAGTGCAAAAATAAAGGCAAATAACATTTACAGAAAATGTTTCACCATCAAATTGATTTTCGTTATCTAGAATAGTGATTTTTTAAAAACATATATATTTTTTAATGTTTAGTTTTGAGAGAGAGAGAGAGAGAGAGCGAGAAAGAGCGAGAGATAACGACAGAGAGGGAAGGAGGGAGGGAGGGGCAGAAAGAGGGGGACAGAGGATTTGAAGCAGACTCTATGCTGACAGCAAAGAGCCCGATGCAGGGTTTTATGTCACTAAGCATGAGATCATTACATGAGCCAAAGTCAGACTCTTAACCGACTGAGCCACCCAGGCACCCCTAGAATATTGAGTCTTAATCTGTGAGTTTGTCCCAGTCCTTTACTTGCTTAAACCATAGCACTGCTTGTTCTTATCCAAAATCTAATTGATTTAAACAACTGGGTTTTCCTGATAGCTAAGAGTTTGGTTTTTTTTTGGTTTTTTTTGTTTTTTTTTTTAATTTTTTTTTTTCAGCGTTTATTTATTTTTGGGACAGAGAGAGACAGAGCATGAATGGGGGAGGGGCAGAGAGAGAGGGAGACACAGAATCGGAAACAGGCTCCAGGCTCTGAGCCATCAGCCCAGAGCCTGACGCGGGGCTCGAACTCACAGACCGTGAGATCGTGACCTGGCTGAAGTCGGACGCTCAACCGACTGCGCCACCCAGGCGCCCCAAGAGTTTGTTTTTTAGAGCATCTATATTCTTTTCTACTCTTGAGTGGAAATCTTTTGTTTATTGAACATGGCCCTATTTTATAAAGAGAATATCCCAAACTCCTATTCATCCTTTTTTTTTTTTTTAAGTTTATTTATTTATTTTGAGGGAGAGAGAGAGAGCATGAGCATGTGTACAAACATGAGCAGAGGAGGAGCAGAGAGAGGGGCAAAGAGAGGGAGGAGGAAGAATGCCAAGAAGTCTCCATACTGTTAGTGCAGACCTAACACGGGACTCAACCCCATGAACCATGAGATCATGGTCTGGGCTGAAATCAAGAGTTGGACACTCAACCAACTGAGCCACCCAGGCACCCCTCTTCATCCTTTATTAATAACTTTGTAGTTATTATGAACGTGAATTACTGTACTTGGCACTACCTAGTTATGCTCATTAAGTTTAGTAATAATTGACTACCCTTTTCAACATTTATTCTGTTATACCTTAAGTCTTTATTGAACTCTTACTAAGTACTGGATGCTGAGTTAAATGCTTTGTATTCATTATTTACTTTTGTTCTAGCTCCTTATCCAAGATCCTTTAAGCTAAATTTAACTTAACCTACATTGGATACAGAGGAAACTGAAGCACAGAAGGATTAGATAACTTACTCATGGACACAGAGCTGGTATTGCAATCTAGGCCTAGATGATGCCAAAGCTCATGCTTGAAACCACTGTGCTTTACCGTTTTCTTGCTGGATCAGAAAGTAAGTTATTTCTGATCCTCAGAAAACTGCACAATAGGTGTTATAATTCCCATTGCACAAATGCATTTTGGTAAGTTAAGTGATTTGTCCCATTCATATGGTTTTAGATACAAATCAGCCCCAGGTTTGTTGCAAATAATTTTTAAAGTTTTGATAACATTCATTTTATGGATAAGAAATAATCCTTAAAAATTTTTTTTAATTTTGAAATAATTTTAGACTTACAGAAAAATTGTAAAAATAGTACATAGTATCCATTTATCCTTTACCTAGCTTCCCCTAATGTTAACATCTTACAGTCACAATAGTACATTTATCAAAACTATGAAATTGGCATTGGTGGCTCAGTCGGTTGAGCATCCAACTCTTAATTTTGGCTCAGGTCAGGATCTCACAGTTTGTAGGTTCCAGCCCCGTGTTGAATCCCTGCTTGAGATTCTCTTTCTCTCTCTGCGCCTCTCCTCACTTTTTCTCTCTCTCGAAATAAACTTTTAAAAAATATTAAAGATAAATCTTGATTTTATTTTATATTGAAAATCAGTCATGGTGGCAGCTACACGATAGAGAAGACAACTGTTTTTCTAGTTTGAACGACTGTAAAAATAGTTTAAAAAGCCAATACATAACCAGAGTAACAATAGTTGTTTATGTTCTGTCCCTCTTCTTGGGACATATATCTGCTTCTATTATGAAAATTATCAAACATACGGAACAGTTGACTTTTATGGTGAATACACATATTTCTACCACATGGCTTCTACAGTTAACACTTTTCTCTGGTGCTTTATTATATCCATTTGTACATGAATTCATTTTTTTATGCATGTTAAATTGTAGATATCAGTACACTTTACTCCTTCCTAAACCTTTCAGCACTTCTATCATTAGAGGTCAATATTTGCTCATAGTTCTCTTTTTATTAAAAAGTTACATACATTGAAATGCACAAATCTTAAGCGTACAATTGAATAAATTTTAATAAGTACACAAACTTTTCCAACGCAAACCCCTGGGAAGACAGCACAGATAGTATCATCAAAATTTCCTCATATTTTTTCTCAGTCCTCATTCCTGCCCCCTCAAAGGTAACCATTGTTCTTATTTTTCCCTGCATAAATTAATTTTGCTTATTCTGGGACTTCATATTAGTGGAATAAAACATTATGTACTCTTTTATGTAAGACTTTTTTCGTTCAAGATAATTTGTTTTGAGATTGATCTATGTTACTACATGCATTAGTATTTTTTCCTTTTTAGTATTCCATTGTATGATGTACCAGTTTGTTTATCCATTTGCCTGATGGTAGATTATGGGTGGTTTCCACTTTATGACTACTATGAATAAAGCTACCATGAACATTTTTTTTTTTTAATGGAGGACCTTGTGTTTTTGTTTTTTTTTTTTTAATTAGATTAAAAATTTATTCTGTATGTTCAACCAGCTAGTCATTTTTACTTGTAATAGCTTCCATATTCTGACCTTTCTGCTTAGCTGGAAATAGTGTGGTATATTAAAAAGATGTTGAGGTGGAGAATCCAATAAGAAATATTCTAATCTTGATGTTCCTACTATTTGGTCTTAGGTGAACATTCTGTTTTCTTCACTTGTATAGAAACTGCTTTTTGTATACAATGAGTCTAACAAAGTAATTTAATCTTTATAGGAATACTCACTAAAACTCGGATGCTCTAGACTGGAGTAGCTTCTCTGTAACCTCTGGTGTTAGTTCTTAGGAGCAGTTTTCAGTTCCTCTCTTTGCCTAGAGGCCAAGTCTTTATGTTTCTAGATCTTCGAGTGAATGAGTATCTCTGTGTGACAAAGTTAAGACATTTTCAAAGATGATGTAGTAACAGCATTTCTTCCTTTCACTCATGTAATTTCATCTTTTTAAAGTATGTCATATGGTTTTAACTTCTGCTGTGTGATTCATTAATCCATTAAACATCTTTTGAGCCCTTAGCTTGTACAGTTTCTAGACACTAGGAAAACATGTGGCCAAAACGTTATTTTCTGCTCTTTCAAAGCTGACAATATAATGGGAAGAAACAGATCAGTACAAATAATAACAGTAAAATACAATTAGGTGCTAATAGAAATACAGATTAAATGCTATGGAAGCTCCAAGGATTGTTTATTTATGCTTAGTGTGGGGCAGAGGCAGCTTCTTAGCAAAGAATGGTTTGAATTTACTTAAATGGGGAGGGCTTTACTTGTGAAGAGAACAGTAATATGTAGAGCATGATAGGACATACACCCTGGAGAAATGAACCTCTTTGAGGAGCAGTTTGTTTGGAAGACTGGAACATCAACACAAACTTTTGCTTGCAAAGAGATAGGGTTCTGAATTTTTTCCTTAGCTACTAGAATCATTGAAAGATATTAAACATTAGAATGTAGTCATATTTTTTGTTAGATCACTTTGGCAGTAATGAGGAAGGATTCACTTGGAGTGAGGGAAATCAATTTAGGCCAAGAGTTAAGTATCTGAAATATACTGGCAGTGGTGTTGGAGAGGAAGTAATGAATTTAAGAGCTGTTAGAATTCCCTTGAATGTGAGGAAGGGAGGCACAAGGAGAAGTCAGCTATTATTTAGATTTCCAGCTTTCTTGTCCAGGAAAGTAAAGTGTTTGAACTGTACAAATGCTGGAAAGGTAGAATTCACCTAGTGCAACTCTGTGATTACAGTAACAAGAATAATTGTATAGACTTCTTTTTTTTTTTTTAATGTTTGTTTATTTTTGAGAGAGGGACAGAGTATGAGCAGGAGGAGGGCAGAGAGAGAGAGGGAGACACAGAATCCGAAACAAGCTCTAAGCTCTGAGCTGTCAGTACAGAGCCTGATGTGGGGCTTGAACTCATGACCGTGAGACCATGACCTGAGCCAAAGTCGAACATATAACCGAATGAGCCATCAGGCGTCCAAATTGTGTAGGCTTCTTAAGACAATATCGTATTTCAGACTCAGAAATATTACATAATATTGATTTGTATGTGTAGGTAACCTCCTTATTTAAAAAAATTCAAAGATAAGAGGATATTAGAGGCAC